TTGTACTTTTTCATTTTAATTTTACTTATTTTTTTTTTAGTAATGTTATGTGCTTTTGTCTCTTGTATAATTTTTTTTAAATGTTACTATTTTTTATTTTATTTTATTCAAATTAAACTTGTTTCAGTTAGTTGCCAAAGCTACATTTTTAATTTTCACTTACGTTTTTAAACTAATATTTGTATATTATATAACTTCTTGTAAGAATGTGAAGAACTTGTAATACTGTCAGAACTGTGCTACATTTTTAATTTGTAATAAGTCTGATGGACTTTGGGTTGTTTGCATGATCAAGAGCACTAGTAATAGTGATGATTGACTTGTACGCACACGCACACACACACACACTCACACAGACACACACACGCTCACACACACACACACACACACACTCACTCACTCACTCACACAGACACGCACATGCTCACACACACACACACACTCACACAGACACACACACGCTCACACACACACACACACTCACACAGACACACACACGCTCACACACACACACACACACACACACACACACACACACACTCTCAGTCCATGCATCCGTACGCTGAGAGCGCCACTAATCAAGGAGTCCATCAGAGTAAACCACAGGCCAGGGGCTGATGGGAAATCTATAGCGTTATTGCTGCACATCTACTTTGATTTGGTTCAGCCTTTAGCCAGAATAACGGCGGTCTGGATCGGAGCATATCGTGTCTCACAGCTCTGTCCCGCTCCTCACAGATCCTGCCTGACAGTCATGTAGACCTTGACCCGCGGCGCCTGCGAGCGCGTAATTCACTCCTGTATGGATTTTCTCGTTCGGGTCGACACCTCTCTGACGCCGCTCGCAGACGTCTGCCGGACCCCTAACAGCCCTTTATAAGCTCCTGTTTTCCTGCAGAGCTGGACGATTAATCACATTTACCTTCAATTAATCACATTCCTTTCCTTTACAGCGCTGTGATTTTGAACTTCCCTTAAATGTTTAGTAGTTTTCAGTAGGTTCTGGAAGTGCACTACAACATGGGTGATCTTTTTATTTATTTATTTTATATACTTATAGTCTTAAAATATTTATATTATGTTATAATCTTTTACCCATTTATGTAAATATATATTTAAATATTACATAATATTTATTTGATTTATTTGTTATTTTAATTTATTTAGCAAATTAATTAAAATAGTCAGCTTACATCTTCATTCTTTAACTGTTTTAGTCATTTTGTTGTGTTGTCATTTTTTATTAAATGTTTCATTCTTATTCTTATTTTATTCTTAATGTTAAAAAAATCATTAAAATATCTTTTTAGATATTTTATTCATTTTTTCAGTTTAAATTATTTTAGTGCATCAAGTTAAGCTAAATGAAACTGAGAAATGGTTAATTGGAAACTAGCTAAGATCAGTGTTATTTTAGTATAATTATAGTTTATTTTATGTTTTATGTGTTCTATATAGTTTTTATTCATTTTTATTTCAGCTTAGATTTTTATTTTACTACATCATGTTAAACTAAATGAAAATGAGAAATGTTGCCTTGGCACTAGCTGAAATAGAAAGTTTAAAAAATATATATATATATTATTTTAATTTAAGTTCACGTTTATTTTATTTCAAGAAATTAAAATTTGCATTTTTATGGTTTTGATTTTAGTTTCAGTTTAGTTGACCATAATAACCCTGACTAAAATAAAACATAATAAATAAATAATAAATATCGTAAAATATTATAAATTATAAATATTGGTTTATATTTTTTTATAAGTTTTATGTATATTTTTTATATATAATTAAATATCCTTTTTTAAATATTTTATTTCAACAATTTTTAATAATAATGTAATAATAAGAATTTTTAATAAGAATATCAACGGTTGTAGCTTTAGTTAACCCTGTACAGATCATGTTTTCCATATTATTTCCAATTATTGAATGCATGAACTGATAAAATGTGCACCTTCAATGCGGTTTAAGTCGCTTTGGGTAAAAGCGTCTGTGATTAATGTAAATGGATGATGTAAGAAACTGATTGACTTGTGTTTTATTTGAATGCTGTTTATACTTCACTCTTGGTCTCCAGTACGTCTCACGTCTCTCTCGTCTCGTCTTGCAGACGGTTCAAGCTCACCGACCGCTCTTCGTGGCTCTTCACTGTCAGGAGGTCGGAGGGAAGAATTACGAGGCGTCCATGACACACGTGGACAGCTTCATCAAGTAAGTCATCGGCTCGTGGAGGCGTTTCACCTGAACTGAGCTGTGTGTGTGTTGAGTGTGAGTGTGTGTGAGAGTGTGTGAGAGTGAGTGAGAGTGAGTGAGAGTGAGAGAGTGAGAGTGAGTGAGAGTGAGTGAGAGTGAGTGAGTGTGAGTGAGTGTGAGTGTGTGTGTATGTGTGAGTGTGAGTGCATGTATGCGCGCGTGCGTGTGGGCGCGTGTGTGTGCGCGCGTGTGTGAGTGCGTGTGTGCGTGAGTGAGAGAGTGTGTGTGTGTGAGAGTGAGTGTG